ACAGTGACAAAGATAGGACCACTCTCCACTTCATGCCCACACTGTCATTATTTTGTCTTTGCCTGGTTTGACACAAGACATACTTTATTAGTCTTTTTTTTTTTCCCTCCCAAGACTTCCTTATCAGTCTAGAGTCTTTTTTAAAAAAAAAAGGACTTAATTTCTGTAAGTCAATCAACCGCGGTGACTGGAGACATGGTGTGTCAACACCCTTGGTGCTGGAGCTTGACCCGGCTTCTCCTCCGCAGTCCTAGGCGTGTGGCCAAGCTCTTCAGGGGGCAGAGCAAGACGTGGTAGACCAGGAGGCTGCCAGGAGCCGGCCCTGCGCATGCGCCGTGGGCCTCTCCCTGCTCCCTGGGGCAGCTGGGCGCGGGGGACCTGCCCACGCGTGTGTGCTTGCATGTCTGCCCACCCACGACAAATAGTTACCAGTTTTGTGGACATTCAGGTGTCTCAGCGTCTCTTTTCCTCTCCCATACCTAGATGCCGGTTAGGCCTTGGACAGAGAGGCTGGTATTTGCTTGCATGCTGCCCTTCTCTGTCACTTTAAATTATCCTGTGGCCCAAAAAATCCCTGTTCAACGCACAATTCTGCTTTCCTCCTAAACACCTGCGCCCAGGATTTTCTTTTCAGAGCGTTCTTCTTGTTTGTAACCAGTTTGCCGAAATACACTCTCCAAGACTCATTCTGACAATTGTCCCTCTTTTTTTTTGGAGGGGGGGGTTGGAGCAATGCCCAGCTTTCCCTCTAATGCTTATAGAAAATTGATGAATTTGGGGCCAGAGCAATAGTACAGCGGGTAGGGCATTTGCCTAGCACGAGGCCGACCCAGGTTCGATTCCCAGCTTCCCATATGGTCCCCTGAGCCCCGCCAGTAGTAATTCCTGAGTACAGAGCTAGGAGTAACTCCTGTATATTGCTGGTATAACCCAAAAAAAGAAAAAAAATGATGAATTTCTCCCACGTCTTTATTTCTGGTTTGGAGGGCCACATCTTGTGGTGTTCAGGGACTGCTCCAGACTCAGTGTTTGGCCTTGCTCTTTGCAGTACAAGAAGACTGAGGCAGTGTGGGGGGTAGAACCTGGGCATGCAAGACCTGTACTGTAGTTTTATAGTAATTCTCTGACCCTGATGCACATTCGTAAGTGGGTTTGAATGACCTCTTTTCACATACATACCCCACTTGGTAGAGGGTCTTCTTGCTCCCTGGGTTCCAGGAGGAGAAAGATGAGGCAGCGGGGCCTGAGACCATCCCAGTGATGTGTTTTCCTTCCAGGCCGATGCCAGCATCCTGCCCTGAAGACCCCGCTAAGGGTGGGCAGGAGCTCTCCCGTGAGCTCAGAGGTGGTTCCTGAAGGCGCCGTAAGCACCTGGAACTCGGCTTCTGACCGAAGACCCCTGGCCGCCTGGATAAAACTGCTGCCTTTTCTTTCACTGCCTTTAGTAAATCTAATTCTTTCGTTTCTGTAAAAATTAAATCAAGGAGTCAACCAACCCTGAAATGGTTCTTTCACTTTCAGAGTAAGGAACCATTTAGAAAAATTGTTGGCCTGGAAGATTACATTCGCTTCTGCCAAGGCCCATTCTTGGCTTCCCTGGAGCACCGCAGAGCTGGGAGAAACTGGCAACCCCGTTCACACTTAGAACGCTGGAAAGGGAACAGGATTTTTATGCTGTTTATCATCTGAGGAGGGTTTTCAGGGGAAAGTGTCAACATAAATTTGGAATTTCCTGACTCCTGCAGATTTGAGTTATAATCTTGACAAGACTAGAAAGGAAATCTTTAAAAAAAAAATGTAAGAGTGTTTTATTGTGGAAATGTCCCCAAACATTTTCATCCCATTTTCCCAGAGAAATCTGACAGCTCAGGGCGGGGAGGACAGAGGCGGGCGGAGGGAGAGAAGAACAAAAACGCCACATCCTTGAACTCTTTTGTGTGTCTAGAACAATGTCCAGTTAAAAATCAAACAATATTGCTGCTAAATATGCCGAGAATAGTCCTTGGAAGTGCCCTGGCTGGAGGCGCTTCTTGGGAAGGGTGGTGAGGAGAGGTGATGAGAGGTCCAACCGGGACCGAGGGCCGACCACACTGCGGCCACCAGATACAGTATCTTTCCAACAAGCCTGTCATCGGCTCCGTCCCCGCCTGGGCCTTTAACTCCGCATCTCAGCACCGGTGGAAAACAAAAGCCCAGCCCCCCGCAAGCAAGGCTAGGGGTGGGTCTGGCTCTTTAGGAGAAGTCATGAAGTCTGGCTTTCTGGCCAGATTTCCTCGGGAAGGTGAGGTGTGGTCAGCACTGAGTGTGTGGACGCCTGGGAGGGGGCGCCCACCCCGCCTTCAGACGCAGGACCTCAGCCTGGCCCATGGCCAAGGAGCCAGACGCCAGGGCCCGGCTCCCAGCGGTGGGAGCGGCCCGCACCCGGTATACAATGGAATTATCTCAGGCCAACCGCTGCTGCAGAGAGCACAGTGCTTCCTGTCCCGGCCAAGGCACAGACTGTCCGGCTTCCAACCGCTCGAGGACACACTCCCTGGCATGGTGGCCCAGCCCCGGCTCGAATGTCCCCGGCCACCTCTTTCTTCCTTGGGAATTGCAGACACTGCAATGCGGTAACCCATTGTGTTCTCACCCTCTCTGGAAGGCACCTCACGAGGGTGACTCACTGGAGAAGAGGGATTAGCTCTCAAAACAGTTTATGTAACGCAGGCAAATGCCTGGAGCTTCTTGGAGGGGAGGAAAGCAGATAAAGTACTCAAGGTAAATATTAACACCAGCCACAGCGCGATTGATTCGGCTGGGCCGGTCCCCCCCTCCTGCCTCCCTCTCGCTGGCCTGGGTGTGTGCATTAAGGCAAGATGACCGCGGCTGCAGTGGCCACCTAGCAACTCTCTGCGATGGATTTGAACTAGATCGAGTCAGCTGTCACGGCGGTGTCTCAAACCCAGCTCTGAATTCAATCAATACAAAACTTCACTGCATGATAGAAAGCCGTGGCACCCTCATGCTCTCAGTTGAGTCAAAAGAAGGAAAAAAAAAAAAAACAGAAAAAGTTAGGTCCTATCTTGGCTTGTTATTCTTAACTTTGGAATATTGTGGTTAATTTATTGACTTAATTAATGTTATCCTTTTATTAGCTTTAGAAGCTGCATGCCTGTGTCAGAAGGTTGAAAATACTTACAAACCGGCTCCCAGAAATTTGGGGTTTAATCCCACAGTTATTGGAAATGCTCAGATGCCTAATTCCGAGTTGGGAAGTTGGGGGGCAGAGTTCACGGCCAGATGCCCAGACAGTAGATCCTGGCTGGAGCACTGGCGGTCTGGGTCCCAGTTTCTGCTGGGTGGTTCCAGCATTGAGAGCAAACCCAATGTCAGTAGAACTAGACTAAACAGAGCCAAGCGACACGGGGCTGGATTCCCCAGTCACGCCCTTGGATTCTCTCCTGCCTTCTCAGGGGAGGATGAGAAAATCCTACAGGTCTTTGCCGTAGTGGAAACAGGCCTTGGGTTTGGGCCTAGTCGCAGAGCTGACAATCAGCCCCAAGCAGAGGAATTTGCTTCTGCCTGTACAGAGAAGGGCCTAGGAACATTCCATTTTCAATTCAGAAATATCTCAAGGATACAAAGAGCCAGAGTCTCCTACAGTCAATGCTCACAGGTTCCACAACCAATTCCAGGCGCCTCTGAACTGGCTGTGACCTTCAGACTTGTCATCTAAGGCAGTAGTAGTATGGGAGCTGGAGTAACAGTACAGCAGGGTGGGCGCTTGCTTGGCACATGGCCAACTCCACTTCGATCCCCGACATCCCATAGGGTCCCCCAAGCCCAGCCGGGAGTGATCTCTGAGCTCAAAGCCAGGAGTTAGCCCAGAGCACCACTGGGTGTTGCCCCCAAACAAAAACAGTGAAAGAAGTGGCTGGGGGGTTGGGGTCACCCTCTGCGCTCCTTTCTCTGGCTCCTTCCTGCATGGGGGATCGCTGTCTGAATGCTGGCATTCCTCTTCCCTGCCTCTGGACAGAAGTAGCTCACCCCCAGAGCTCCCCAGACCATGAAGGCAGCCACTACTATTGCTGAGTCCACGCAAATTCTCTGCTATTTTGACTGTGTTTACAAACACACATTTGCTTGGTCAAACAGTAAGTCATATTGCTTTCCATATGTTAAATTTTGCATATATGCTTATGATAACATACATAACCTTTTACACACGTGTCATTGAGGTACAGTTTCGATTCTACACAACGCATCTAACCTACACGCGATCCAGTCTGTGTGTGTGTGTCCAGGTTACAACCAGCAATCCTCGGAATCTCGGGGCCTACTCACGACTGTTCTACGAACTCTAGTGAGGAACCAAGGCCTGGGCTCCAGCCTGTGGAGCCATCTGAACACCCTTCTGTCTTCTTAAACATGTTTCGAGATTTGTATGACCACAAGCAATTTCAGAATGGTTTTTTTTTTTGGGGGGGGGGGGGCGTCACACCCAGCAATGCACAGGGGTTACTCTTGGCTCTGCACTCAGGAGTTACTCCTGGCGGTGCTCAGGGGACCATATGGGATGCTGGGAATTGAACCTGGGTTGGCCGCGTGCAAGGCAAACGCCCTACCCGCTGTGCTATCTCTCCAGCCCCGATTTCAGAATGTTTTTAATATCCTTTTCTTAAAAACAGCCCTGTCCAGTAGGAAGCACTCCTCTAACTTGCCACTCTCTGCTCCTCCCGACCTCCACGCTTCCAACACCCTTCAACTTCTCCCTTCCTCTAGAATGGCCTCATCTGGTTACTTCATATACACAGAATCATCACAAAATACCTTACTTTTTTGGTGTCTGACACTTTCACTTAATTGAGCATTTTTTATGGTGCATTCAGGCTGGAGCAGGTACTCAACTGTTCAGCAGGTACTCAACTTTTTGTTGTCAAGGAACAATTGGTGAAAGCATCACTTTTTATTTTTTAAAGGAGAACCATAAGCTTAGATTTATTATGCCTGGGAGTCAAAAATATATGGAAAGCTTCACGGACTTGCATGTCATCCTTGCCCGGAGACAATGCTTATCTTCTCTGTATGGTTCCAACTTTAGTCTCTGTGCTGCTGAAGTGGCAAACCACTGAATACATAAATTAAGTGTGAGTTTTATACTAAATACTCCCCTAAGTACAGTTGCTGCTCCAGACATCTCTGGAGAAGTTTTCTGTTCTTTCAAGTCTCTGGAGCGAGTATCTCCATCATGAAGCCATCCTGCCTGCAGCAGGTTTATCTGCTGGAGGAACTTCCAGACCAGAGTTTCTCAAAGTCGGGGGCACGCCCTGACACTGCATCCCCTAGGAGGTGGCAGTATTCCTGGGGGCAGTTGGGGATGCTTTCAACTTGTTCTTCTAAAGGTAGAGTTCTGGGGCGGGGTTGGGGGCGTTGGGGGAAGCTGAGTGATTCATTTTTTTTGAGCGTGGAGTGGTAGGTGTAGTGAGTTTGGAAATCTGCCCTTGACCATTTTCTAAAGCAGCATGTGAGGACTCCCGTGTCTCTGCATCTTCCCCTGCTTGGGTCGGAGCCACGCTAGCTCACCTGAACTGCTGCTTCTGCGTGGCCTTCCTACCGGGCCTGAGAGGGCCCCATGTGTTCATTGGAGAGGCTGGGCTACTTCCTGCTGTGCCCGAGCTGCTTGGCTCACAGTTCCGTGTGTGCTTAGGAAACCCTGAGGGCCACACGGCGGGTGCTGGTCTTCCAGGGCCTACCTGGGAGGCCACCTGGGGCCTGGCGTGGGACCAGCGTGGCGCATGTCTTAGGCATTGCCCTGCCGACACTGTCTTCCTGCTCTCGTGTTTTGATGTGTTTCCCATTCATGACTAATGGGGCTAAGCATATTTTCACATGCTTGCTGTCCTTCCTATTTCGTTTTTCATTTCTATTTTTGGAGACACCTCTATTCAGATCCTTTAAAATTATTTTTTTCCAAGGCGGGAGGCATGGTAGACAGGTAGGGCACTGACCTTGCGTGCAGCTGACCTGGTTTTCATCCTGGGCATCCCATATGTCTCTGAGCCCTGCCGGGAGTGATTCCTGAGTGCAGAGCAGGGTGTAACCCCTTAGCACTGCCGGTTTTTGTTTTTGTTTTAGTTCACTGAATTTTTGTTACTAAGGTGCAAGAATGTATTATATATATTTTAAATAAAAGTTCTTTGTCAGGTGTATGACTTGCAAAGATTTTCTCCCATGTTACTTCTCATCTTCTCATGGTGCTCTTTGCCGTATACCTTATAAAATCTTTTAAATCCATGAACTTATAGAAAAATAGAAGCATATCACAGGAAACGTGGAACATTAATTATAATCAATTTCAACTTCTGTTTTTCTCAATAATCTAAGCATTTGGATTAAGTTATTGACCCATTGTCTTGTGAGTAGGCATTAGAGCCATTTTAAATTTGATTACAGTTTTTAATCAAAAATTTCAAATATGATTTTTTAAAAGTTCCACATAAACACTCTTGCCTACTTCTCCTAGGGCACACTTTCCAGTGATGATGTCTCCCAGGCTACACTTAAAAAAAAAAGGTAAATTTGTTAATTTTAAAACATAAACAAGACATATATCAGAATAGTTGTGAAGACTAAGAAAAAGTTAAATTTTATGCCTGAGGTATTTTTCATTTTTCTCAGAGTCCCTGTTATATGTTTCTATTTTTAAAATATAGGGGGAAAATGGGTTTAATTTAATCAAAAGCACTTTATAGACTGACATTCCAAGGAATATCCTAGAAGTAGAACTAAATGTACTTTACTTCCAAAAAAATTTTTTTTAAATGATAATAATAAACGTACTTCACTTCAGAAAATTGTACTTCAGTCCTTTGTCCTGATTTACTCTCTCCCTTCCCCCATCTTTGTTTTCTTGGATAAGAGTGACAACATGAGTCTGAATGCATCTCTTCACCTTTGTTAGACATTGTCAAATTATTTGTCTTTTGGGGGAACCACTGATCATCGATTTGCTCGAGCGGGCCCAGTAACATCTCCGTTTTGGGACTTGTTGTTACTGTGTTTGGCGTATCGAATACGTCATGGGTAGCGTGCAGGTGAGATACTCTCGGTAGCTTGCCGGGCTCTCCGAGAGGGGCAGAGGAATCGAACCCGGCTCAGCTGGGCTGGCTGCGTGCAAGGCAAACGCCCTACAGCTATGCTATCACTCCAGCCCTTGGGGGGACCAGTAATACATTATTTGAGTCTCAAGGCAAAGCAGTTTTGCTCATAGTTAGTACTGGTTTTGACAATTTTCATTGGTATTTTATTTTATTTTGTTTTCTGGGTCCCACTCAGCTCTGATTAGCGCTTACCCTTGGCTCAGGGATCACTTCTGGAGGGACTCAAGGGGCCATAGGGGGAGTTGTTGACTGAGCTCGGGTCTGCTGTGCTCAAAGCAAGCTGATTGTACTACCTCTCCAGACTCTAAATCTCACTATTGTTTTAAAATTAAGAGGTAGCCTTATGGCCTGGCAGACTTTGGGGACCTGTGAGAAACAAGTAAACCACTGCAGCTGTATCATTATTTGTAACATGGACAAGAAATTGTGGCCATAGTAAATTCTTCTGTGACTGACTCTGAGACTTACACATAAAATGAACGTGAGTAATACTGTATTCCTCTTCACAATTTTCCTTGTTCATGTCACAGCTTTGATTCTATAGGCTAGGTAGGGGCATAGTTTTTTGCAGCATAACTTTTTGCTAGCAATTAGTATAAAGTTCTAGATTTATTAGCTTACGTAAAAGACAAATTCTTTGACACCAAATGTCCTATTAATGCAGAATACATTCTTTTTTAAAAAATAAATTATGATTTTTTATTAAAGGAATTTTGATTTAAAAAGTTATTGATGGTTGAGTTTTAGGCATAGAATATTTCAATACCAACCCCACTACCACTGTCAACTTCCCTCCACCAATGTTCGAAGGTTCCCTCCCCACCCCCACCCCCCACCCCTGCCTGCCTCCTTAACAGGCATATTACAAAGTTAGTTGCTACAGCTTCGATCTCAAGTCTTCAGTGTTGTTGAGTCTGTGTTTTGGATCCAAGGCTGTGCCCCTCTCCGCTTCAGTTATCACCAGGATAACTGAAGGCCTGACTCCTGTTGACCCATTATTTCCCTTTCTTCTTCCCTCTCTTGTAATGCAGAACACATTCTGTTCCTAGGCTTGGTCTTCAGCCTTCACGTAGTTTGAATGCTTATAATTCTAATTCCTTCAGCATTTTCTCACCAATTTCTACTGAACTTCAGTCATAAAATACAGTGTGTGGAGACTCAAGGTCTATATATACGATGCGAAGGGTGTACAGTGCTATGCAAAGGAAACACAGAGACACTTCATGTCTCAACATACTAAGCAAATGATCTGTTAACTTCTTTGCTCCTAAAGCTTTCCAAACTACCTCCACTTCCCAGTCCAGATTGAATAACTCAAGACGATGAAGGAGTTTCTAGTGCGACGTTTTTAGGAACCATGAAGTTTCTCAGAAAGCTCGCGTTCTGAGCTCCTCGACAGAATCACTTAGATGAACACAATATAATATCTATGCGAAGAGGAGACTTACAATGGCAGAAAAGGTTTCTTTGTGGTTGACTAAAGCTTAACTCAAAGGAGACTAAGAAGGGGTTTTAGTTCGAACTGTGAGATCTCCAAGACTCGGATGGGAAATGGAGTGATCCCTGAGCGCAGAGTCAGGACTAGACCCTGAGCACTGCCAGGGACATTCCCCAAACTAATAAATAAATAAATAAATAATAAAAACTAAAAACAACGCATTCGATACTATACTTGAAGAGATGGCATTCATAGAACTTTTACTACTAGACTGATATTTAATGATTGATTATGGTTGGTAGATTCTTACAGTGCCTAATTTATACATTAAACTTTATCATAGATATATGCATAACAGTCATGGATAGAAACAGAAGGCAAAAGGAAGCAGCTGGCTTCTCCGGGGTTCAGTATAGCTGAGGACTCAGTACTAACTGGTTTCGGCATCCACTGGGGTCTTGGAAGGACCCTGTGGAGCATAAAGATTAGTCATGGTGCAGATTCAATGCGGGTCTCACGTGGTCACATGGTCTATTGAGCTGAGAGAACGAGAGTGATCCCCCTCCCTATGCCGTTTGCATACAGAGTGTTAGCAGGTGGTCTTATAACTAGGAAGAGCGTTTATCATCTTAGGACATGGACGGCGACAGAGTCTGTGCCTAAATTTCCATCTTCCAGACAAAAAATAGCAGAGAGATGCCCAAGGGGCCGAGTGCATGTTTTTTTTTCAGCACGAGCCCCGGGTTTGATCCCCTACATCATGCTGTCACCAAAGCCCCTCTCCCTATGGAGCCTGGAGGAGCCCTGAGCACCATCAGGGGTGGCCCTGCCACAAAGTTGAAATCTTTTGAAACTGAGATGACCATGGTTACAAGGGTGCGCATGTGTCTAAGTTTTAGAGGCCCTTTGTCACCACGCCACACTTCTCACCCAAGAGGTGGAGAAGACGCCACCAGCCCAGCTGGGGTGAGATGCTCGAAGAGGCAGGCAGGACCATGCAGGAGACTGGGCCCGATGAGTCTGTTTGTGTTTAGAACCGAGGGCCTAGAGTCCCAGAGAGGGCTCAGGGAGGGTGCAAACAGGGAGAGGCATGTGCCGTGGACTGGACGGGCGGAGACCACGCAGACGTGGACACCAGTGGGCCGCCGGCTCAGCACTGCACTTGGAGCAGCAAAGACGGAAGGAGAGAAGTGGGGCTGAGATCAGAGGGTCCCGTCCAAGACTCCCGAGCATGGAGCGTTGAGATCAGGGGCTGCAGGTCAGGGCCTTCCTGCCTGTCCCTCGGCCTCTGGACCTCAGGCTTGGACAAGCTTGAGCAAAGAGAGGCCACACTGAGGGGGCCAGGCTGTGGCCAGCCCTGAGGACGGGCGCTGGGCCCAGCCGGGGGCCTATCTCTATGCCACCCGCAGGAAGCTGGCTCGGGGCTCTGTGCCCAGCAGAGGTTGTGGGGAGCTGGCGGGCGAGGTCCCCTGCATGCCTGCACAGCCCGGGCACACTGCCAGGTCGCGGGGAGCCCTGGCGGTGAGAC